TCTATTGAATTATTTAGCCATCAACTTATAATATGACACGTTATCGTTCTTAAATAAAAAAAAAGATCCAATATTAGATCCCTTTCTTAATATTAAAACACTAACTTTTATTTTTTTATTCATTTTTAATCTTTAGAATATTTTTTAGATCCTGTCTGCATTGGGTTTGGTCTGAGCTCCTCTTCTCAAGACATCGCTTAACACATAAAACATCAATCTCTCATATTTCTTTTTCTTTTTTTTCCTCGTGAGAATATACACAGAATTTGGTTCGATAGGTTATGTTCTTCAGTGCTGGAAAATGGAAACGCTGTATTTGTATCTTGAGATTTTTGCGACGTAATTGAAAAGTAATCTTCATCTTCTTGAGGAAAGCGTGTTTATGTTCAAAAGTGTGATTTTATTTTGATTTGGTTTACTTGGTTCAAAGCTTTGGTTTGGTTTTGGTTTTGTTTTTAAATCAAGTTAACATCGGTTTAAGCAATCGTCTTCAACCTCCGTTGCTCTGTTTTTTGGCAAAAGCTAGATTTTGGTATGACCTGGTTTATCTTGGTTTAATACGCTTCTGCTTGGTTTGAATTATTGTGTTCGGTCATTGTTATGTTAAATCATTTAGCAAATAATCGAATCATGTCTTTTGCTTTATTCCAGTGCATATTAGACGGTGTTTGGGTTTCACGCTTTGTGTCTATGATATTTTGATTGCAATTTATTTGAATGGTCAAAATTGCTTTACATGTGCTGTTTGCATTCAATTTAATTGATTAGTTAAAATTTTGGAATTTATTTATTCTGAATTTATGCAACAGCTAAACACGGTTTTGTCTTTATTCCCTTGATTTTCTAGAACTGATTAATTTGTGTTATTATTATAAGCAAAACTTGCGTTTGTTATTGATTTGAGTATCAGTTTAGATTGTCTATGCAAATATTCGTTTGATTTAATTTGCATACGTTATGTTTTTGCTTTAAATTAAATATTTAATTTCCAAATTTATTTAAATTCTGAATTTTTATTTATTTATTATTTACAATTTATTCAATTAATTTAAATTGTTTATATAATCCTTTGAATTTATGTGTTTTGTTTTGATTAGTATATTAATTCGCTTTATTTATCGTGAACAGATTCGAATTTAAATATGACTAACGACACTCACACGTTGATCGATGGTCAAAACAAGGATGCACTGATCGATGCTGGAACCGTTGGTGGTGGTACTTGTGGAAATGGGTTGAGTGGTCTACCACATACAAACCCGTCAGTGCCTGGCGCTGCAAGCGTAGGACTGATGCCAGATAAGTTTGGTGGGAACTGATTCAAAACTTGGCAACAAGATGCATTTCTTTTTGATCAATTTGAACCTAGACAGAATCTGAAAAAGGATGCTCTTGTCTTCCCACCGGGTAACACAGATCCAATGGTTTTGGCCAGTGTGGATTCGTGGAACCATTCAGACTTTTTGTGGAAAGGCTGGATTCTAAGCCGCTTGATAGACCCATTGTACAATGTGTACTCTGCAGTGAAAACCTCCAGGTAACTTTGGGCTGTGCTGGGGAAGAAATATAAGTCCGAGGACGCTGGCTGTCAGAAATATGCTACGGTAAAATTTCTAAATTTTAAAATGGTGGATTCAAAACCCATCATGGAACAAGTGGAAGCCTTACAATTGATTATGCATGAGATAGCGGCTGAGGGGATGTCGATTTGTGAAATTCTCACGGTCAACTCCTTCATTGAGAAGCTCCCACCAGGTTGGTTTGACTTCAAGAACTATCTCACCCATAAGTGTAAGGCAATTTCCCTCGAGGACTTGACTGTCAAGCTGCGGGTAGAATCTCGAAACCGCGTGGCAGATGCTGTTCTCATTCCTAAAAATGATGTGAACTTGGCTGAGCATAAGAAAAAAGGATCCTAAAGCCACCACAAGCTTTAAGAAGCAAACGGAACCTAAAAAATTCTTTGATAGCTGCCACAAGTGTGGTAAGGAGGGCCATAAAGCTGACGTTTTTTGTAGCAAGGCTGGTCCAAGCAAAGACAAAGGGAAGTCTCAAGCCAATCTGACTGAAAATGATATGTGCGCTGTGGTCACGGAGGTCAACACGGTTGAGGACAACCCAGGGAAATGGTGGTACGACACATGTGTCACCACTCACATATGCATTGATAAGAGCATGTTTAGCACTTATCAAAAATGCAAGAGTGAAGACCGGCTGTTAATGAGTAACACCGGCTTGTCCAATATTGAAGGTCGCGGCGAAGTGAAGCTCAAGATGACTTCAGGAGATGAGATCACTCTCAAGAATGTCAAGTATGTGCCAGATATGCGAAAGAATTTGATTTCCAGGACGCTTCTAAGTGCCGCTGGATTTGCTGTAACTTTCGAGTCGGACAAGCTAGTTCTCAAGAAACATGGGGTGTACTTGGGAAAGGGTTATGTTAAGGAAGGACTGGTCAAAATGTTTGTAATGACAGTCCATCCCTAAAATGTTGTAACCATTTGTGTTTTTTTTTTCAATCAATAAGAATTATTCAGTTGCTTATTTGGTTGAGCTTTTTCAATATTTGGGATGAACAATTAGGGAATGTGAATTATAAATCTATAGAAAGATTGATTAATTCAAACCTAATTTTCAAATGCAAATTAAGTAAAAAATAAAAGTGAAGTCTGCAACAGGCAAAAACTCACAAATAAACTATAAAAATAGTTCTAAGTGATAGAGAGAGAGAATACAATGGACTATACAATGTGTTCTGTAAAGAACCTGGCATTATCCATCACATAACCGCTCTTTATTCACTTGAATCAACGGAAGTTACGGAATTAAAAAAAAAATTCCGAGCTCTAAAAAAAAAATCAATGCAATATTGCATGATTTTAAGTGCCCTCAGAAAATGTGGGGGAAAGTATTGCTTACCACATAAAATCATTGGCATAATGCCATATGAGATTTGGAAAGGTAACGTACATTCGTACAAATACCTAAAAGTGTGGGGGTGTCTGGCAAAAGTTTCACCATCATTGAATTCTAGCAAAGTGTGTACACCATGATAGTCAATTGACTATAGCTCGTCACTGAGTTTGTGTATAATGGTAAGTCATGTCTTTTATGAAGATATGTAAGGCCATTTAGACAATTGATCTCAAATGGAGTAATCTTATTAGATTATGTCCAATCATATGACAACCTAGGATCCAATTTTTAAAGTGTTTCATGAGGTTAAATTGTAAATCATCAAAAGGAATGGGTTTAACGCCTATGAATTGAGGATGTTTGATAGTAACCCTACCTATGTGACTGGAGATCCCAAGATCTAGGTTCAAAGGGACAACAAATTCAAGTGGAATCTAATAAGAGCACCGGGAGACTTATGTCTCCGCCCAGTTCCTAGGATGATTACCAGTGCTACATGTATGTGTAGAAGATAAGCGTTTGCTTTTAATGATTTGAGTCCATAGCTTTGAGATATACATGGAGTATTACAGGATGCTCCTTTAAACAAAGATAATGGCAAATCACCTTGTGAGTGTGAAATGCGGCCGTTTCTAGGGGAATGAAGGAAAGACTATATTCTCCAAGTTCACTCATTATTACCAGGCATGTTCAAAGCCAAAATGAACACAATATAGAACCTTGTTATGTGAGAGAATGAAGCTGTGTTGTAGCTATTGTCTCGGTTTACATCAAAGTCTGGGTGGTTCAAGACATCATGTTCACCTCCTGGTCGAGTAAATCTGATAGCTATTAACAATGAATGGTTCAAGGCTGAAAAATGCTACCAACTCATACGCAGTGGATTTTTCGTTGTACTCTCAAAAAGTCCTTCTGTCGAGTCTTTCTAGGAAGTCAAATTTGTCGAGTCGTTATGTGTCTAGAGTCATTTCTATTCATGTGGGAGATTGTTGGAACTCGTTTTTGACGAAATGATTTTAGACTGTTTCCGGTGAGATTCCGGCAAAGACATTCGTCGGAATAACCGAATGTTAGGCACGATGAAATCGTAGCCGTAAGCATTATATTATATAATATTATCAACTGTCAAAATCAGAGTTGGTTTGAATGAGAAATAGAGATCCAAAGTGGGTTGCTTGTAACATTTAAAAAATGTAATATTTTTAAAATGTCTCATTTAGAAGTTAGAGGCGAAATTTTTCATATATATAAAGCGGTGATATTTTAATACACATTAGTGTATTGTAAAGAGAGAAAATACTCGAGTCGGATTTGAGCTAGTTCTGGACTTCGAGATTTGGTTAATAGGCCAATGGATCAAAAAATTATATTTTTATAATATATTTTTTTTGAATTTTGTTGTTAACAAATTCAACAAAAGAATCTTTCTTATTGATATTAGTCAAATAGACTTTAAAGTACAAAATCATTTTTTGATTTGTGTAAGTTAATCTGTTTAATGCATGATGACCACGTAATAAACATGAGATTAAATTTTCAATCTTCCTTTATTGGTTTAAATGTATGTTGTTAATGTTTAAGGCATTTACAAAAGCTGGCTATATAAACAAGCCATAAGCTCTCCTTCTCAAGATATCGCTCAGCACATAAAACATCAATCCTTCACATTTTTTCTTCTGTTTTTCCTCTTGAGAGTATACACAGAATTTGGTTCGATAGGTTCTGTTCTTCGGTGCTGGAAAATAGAAACGCTGCAAAACCATCACACTATGGGGCGTTCAAAGATTTAAGAAAAAAAATTTATCTCAACTCCGCAATTCCTTGTCATGTTCTTAATTCGGTATTGTATTTTTGATATATATTTTTCAATATATCCTTATGTTTATCAGTTGCCTTGTTGTAGTAATTAAGGTTCCTACGAATAGCGCATCTTACCATCATGTGTATGTTAGCATGTATAACGTAAATGAGAAAACACATATATGGAGAGAGCTTACAATATAAACCATGAAAGCTCTTCTGTATTAAGTCTTCAAACTAAACACCTAAGTGGGTTGATTTTATCTACAGAAACTAAGTATAATTCACCAAGGTCCCGACTCTGTCCTCCTAAGCCTTTTCTTTGCACCTCCTTCAAGATTCATCATCATCTCTATCTCCTGTTGTATAAATACACAACATCAAGTTTATAAGTTCAACTATTAGGCCTATCTATTTTGGGATGAAGAATGGGTAATTTGAGTATTGAAAATTATAATCTGAAGTATTCCTGATAAAATATGGGACGTGTTTTTCGGGTATCAAGATAGCTTCAAAAATTTTGGGAAATTAAAATCACTACCCAAACCTCATTAAATTTGATATAGGTTCGATTTGGGACGAGTAAGGGTTAACATCGGGACTGGTATTTTAATAATTTCGAAAATTTGAGGAAATTTATAACAAAAGTTGGGGAAATTTTAAAATATTATGGACAATTTTCATAATTTTTTAAAAAGCTAAATTCTTAAACAGGTAATACGTGTATTTCGTCCCATACCAAACCCGTTTCTTTACCCGTTGAACTAAATTATACATTACCATTTACCAAATGGGTGATTATTAAACGGGAATAAATATGGGATGAAAATTTGGATGGGTATGAGTTTAATGTTAAAAGTGTCAAAACAATAAGCTATGAGAATAATGTAAAATGGTAAAAGAATCATTACCTGATTCTTTTGAATTTCCATAATCTTTGCCTATAAGAACACACACAGAATACAGTGAGAAACAAAAAGAAGTGAAGGTAAGAAGATGTGATACTTAGATATGGTTTATGATTACCTGTTTTCGTTGCAACTCGTCATTCTCTTCCTTTAACTTCGCAACTTCAGCTTCAAGCTCCACGGTATAAGCCTACGAAACCAAAACAAAGCACTATTGAGAAGCTTATGAGATCAACTATAGTACCATTCAAAACATTTACACTCGCTGATGTTAGAACTCAACAGTTTCGGTCACTACAACTTCTTGATGAACCTTGAACCCCCAAAATACAACCTCTGAGCCACCTCGTGGACATTAGCAAATTACATTCCATTATATGGTCTGGTCCGTGAACATCTGCGTATGCCAACATGTATATACACCAAAACCACAAGGGCCTATTTGTTTCCAAGACTCATTCAACCACAAAGGAACACCACAAGTACTTATGCAAGATTCTCTTTCAGGTCCCAAAGTTTTGTTTACTTAACTACAAAAATTACTTTACAAGTCTTTTGGCATATAACACAATCATTCTTGATGTAAAGATTAAACATTTTTACCTGTTTCCTAGCCCGTGACCTCGCAGCTGACTCTCTGTTCTTGATCATTCTCCTTTGCCTCCTCTCAACAACTTTTTCCACAGTGCCACTCTTTCTACCCCTCACACCACCATTAAACATGTAAGGAGAAGGAGAGAGCGACGAAGAATCACCATTGTTCTTCCCTATACCGTCTGATGACAATGGCGTAACAGGAGACACAGCACCAACTCCCATGGCTCCTCCAGTACCTTGGACCAATCCCATATTGTTCTGATCTCCAAGTACCATAAGACCACCTCTTGCAGTTTGTGTTCCGTAACCAAAACCAGTCGGCTTAGGCATGATCAGCTGTTGCGGTTGCGGTTGCAGTTGCGGTTGCTGGTAAGTTGATCTAGCTCCATTAACATTCAGAGGCAAATTAGAACCTTGAACCTGCAACTGATTCACATTCTCTACACCAAGATTCCCCATTAAACCGGGAACAACTCGCGGAGAAGAAGCCTGGACAGCGAAACCCGCGTTAGGATCGTTACCAAAGTTAACGCCTTTATCGTCTGCAGCGATCTGAGTTTCCTCTCTCACAACACCAGCACGGACCAAGAACTCCTCAAGAGTTACTTCACCTAACGTTTGCTGCCTCTGGCTCTGACTCTGACTCTGACTCTGAGACTGAGACAAGTTTGTTCCTCCATTGATTCCATCTTTAGAAAGATCTTTCCACACTTGATCAACGGTTTTCGTGCTGAGCGTTCGAGGTAGAGTCAACGAGCCTTGCCTCTGCAACTGCAACCCCTCTTGGCCTGCTCCGGTAAGTGGAACCACACCACTAGTTGAAGCAGCCATAGCCATGGCTTGTGTTTCTTCAGCACTCCATATGTTCTTTAACAGCTCATCCATGTTCATTGACCCAAAATCTTTACCTAAACTGCTCTGAAACTCATCAAATGTCAACGAGTATATCGAACCTTGTCTGGTCAACGCTCCTCCTCCTCCGCCACCATCTCCCGGCAGCGGATTATTCCCCAAATTGTTGTTCTTGAAATTCATTTTACTTCTCAAGAATTTTGCTTTCACTAATTTCTTATGGATCTGGAAATGCCCATGAATACGAATTAGTGAAAAGTTTAGTTTTTTCACAGATTCAGAACAGAAACACAAAGAAGATCCAGAAAATTTGCAAAACCCAAATCAAAAAGCAAGACACCCACAAATTTCACAAAAGTTTGATTAAACGGATAGAATCAGATGCAACGAATCGGGATAGAAATTGGTATATTAGAAAATATATGCTAAATTAGTAATTTATCGAAATTAGTGTGGACATAAATGCAAACAATTAAAGAAGAGCGGCAACGGAGCAAGCAATATCCACACACAAAGTTAAGCAGAGTATTACCTTAAAACTTTTGGATTAATCCGTGTGCTTTGTCTTTGCCCAAAAATGTCTGAATGGTTCGTTCGCGTGTTCAGGTTCTGTTGTCTGCTCAGCCAACTGTAATCTCTGTCTCCTAACCATCCGAATAAATACTCTATATTGAGCTACATTATTTTTACCTTAGATTATTTTTATTTTAGAGTCACTATCATTTTTTAGTTTTTTTTACGCATTGTTTAAATTTTCTGACTTCATGATGTGTATCTTTTGCGTCATGGATCTAGTATCTTCAACTGTGGAGCTCCTAAACTATGGGGGTTTCACGTTTTTTATTCTATAATTTGGATATAGTTTCCATATAAAAATATATATATATTGTATTTTGAAAATTGGGTTATGTAGTTGTTGGAGCTGGATTTAGCACTCTAAATCCGGCCCACTTAAGCCCAATAGACATATTCAAACTAAGCCAAGTTAACTGGACTTTGATTTTGCGGCCTAGGTCCATTCACTTTCAACGATCAATCCTAAATGACAGAACGTTTCACTCAAGGAAGGATCCGAACCAAGTCAGAGCATATTCGCGTCAGTTCAAACAAGTCCGAAGATCGCGGAGAAAGTTGCTGCACGTGACAAGATTTCCGGCTGAAGCTACTGCACGTGGCCAAAATACACACTGGAGTTCAGAACTCGACGAAGCAAGCTATATAAAGGAAGGGAACAGCTTAGTTTAGGGGACTTCTTCCTGGCTTGATCTTTTACTTCTCACATACGAAAACCCTGTAACCGCTCTCAGAGCTCTTTTCAGTTCATCTTTTCCATCGAAATTCTTGTAACCGTTTCATTCGACCGATTAATACTAAGTCTTTATTTCAGTTAGTGCTAGCTTATATTGTCAATCTGTTCGAGAGAATCTAGCCCTTAATCCTCTAAAGTTCTTTCCTTAAAAAAAAACATAAATTTCTGAGTGTGGATTTCTGTATCCACATTTTGGCGCCGTCTATGGGGAAGATCTATAGATTTCTCTTACTCAAGAGCAGATCCTAAGCCAGCTGAAACCGAAATGGATTCAACTCAACAAACCTCGGGAAACGTCTCACCAATTTCGATCTCTCCAGATCAAGTTACTCCTACCGGCAACGTTAGCCAGACAGCCGGCGGAAATGAACCCAGGGTTACGACCCTCGTCGACACCACCGGCACGAACTCCAATGTTCCCAACCGTGTGGAACCAATCGTGATCAACCTCGTCACCCCACCGAGTATGACGAGTAATCAGTCACAAACAGCCGAGAGGCCTCCCTCTCGAACTTGGGTGCGATCTGAGAATCCACCTACAGCTTCGGCATCTCAGAGCCGAGCAGCTCCTGTTTCCCTGCTGATACATGTAGCTTCTAGGAGCACATCGGAGTCGGCAGAGATACTCCAAATGCTCACACACCTGATCGATCGACAACGAGATCAGGAAATCAGATTAGAAAGACAGGAAAAGCGTCAAGCCGCAGCGGATCCACCTCCACGGACTCAGCTCGACTTTTCGTCGATCCCCGCTCCGAGTAATCCACCTGGACCATACGTGACACCTCTGCGTGCTCCAGGTCCACTAAACTTTGCCTCCGCGGTGAACCAGACACCAATCACCGCGGATACTCCGGCTCCAGGAATACCAGAGATGGGACCTCGTCACGCGATGAGATATCCATCTCCGCACATGCCAATACCAGGAATACCTGAAATGAGACCCCATCCCAACACGAGATATCCATCTCCACCTTTGAGACCACCTGGAACCGAGCCACCTCGACAGAGATGGTTTGGATCCTCGGCCTTCGCCTCGAGCTCGCAGACACCACCTCAGTTCAGCCAACAGCCGAACACGACCTCGAACTCGAGACTTCTTCCTAGCAGGATCCGTGAACAACCTGTAGGATTCGTGCACCAACAGCTCGGAACTCACATTCCGAATGATCCGACCGGGCTAACCACCTCGGCGACGGCTCAAGAAACCTAGTCAACTGCGAATCCTTTGAAAGGTTCCAGAATCAGACCGACTATGCCATTCGGCAGATGAACTATATGTTCCACCAAGCTACGAGCTCGACTCCCGACATCGACCGAGTAATTCGCGAGACCCAACGGGCTCCGTTAACTTACTCGATCATGAACACGTACCTCCGAGGCACTACTAATGTACGAGTACTGGAGTACGCTGGAAACAGCGACCCGAAAGCTCACATCCGACTCTTCAACCTTGCAGCTATCCGAGCTAACTTCTCCCTATAAGAGAAAGAAGCAGGATATTGCAGGCTCTTTGCTAAAAACTTAGTCGGACCAGCCCAAGAATGGTTCGCGATGCTAGAAGAAAACTCGATCTCGAGTTTCAACGAGCTCGCAGTAGCCTTCCTCAAACAATATTCGATCTTCATTGAAAAATAAGAAATCGAAGCTGACCTCTGGAAGCTAGTCCAAGCTCCAGATGAACCACTTCGATCATACATCACTAAATTTAAGGCGATTAAAGCAAAAATCGCTAACCCTAACGAAGCAGTAGCGCTGCTCGCCCTCTGAACCAACCTTTGGTACTAGTCGAGGTTCAAGGCGGAGCTCACGCTTCGGCCTACAGACTCACTCGATGACGCGCTCCATCGCGCTTCCGTATACGCTAACTTCGAAGACGAGACGGCTGCCTGCGAAGCAAAATACCGTAACTCACAGCTCCACCTCGCACCCTCTAGGTCAAAGAAAGCTAACGTTCCACCTCCCAAAAGGGAATCACAGGGCAAAGGTCAGCATTCATATGCTATAGAAAGCTCATCCCCCGAAAAGGAGTCGAGCTTCGACCAAAGCAAATATTGCGAGCACCACAAAAATAACGGACATTCCACCGAGGAATGTCGATCTCGAGCTAGAATCTGGCGAAAAAGCTCTCCAAAGAAAAAGCTGAGAAAGCCGAGGGAAAAAGCAAAAAGCCCAAAAAGACCTCGACCCAAAACAGGGAAGTGGACCCCGACAAAGCACCTCAAAAACGAGATCGCGAAGTCGAAGTCAAAGTCCAAACCCCTGACTCTCCTCCATCAGCGAGAAAAAAGATAGACCTGATTTTCAGAGAGTTAAACCTTTGCGGTGGATCAATGAAATCAGTAATCACCCCCCTCCTCCCGCCCGCACCTAATAAACCATCAAGCTCTTGCTCAACCAGGCTTCATAAGGTCGCGGGGGGGGGACACATGTTAAAACTACTCGGAAGCTTGTCAAAACCGAGCATCACCTAACTTTCGACACCTCTGATATATCATGGTTTTTATGGTTTTTAACCATGATATAAGTCCTTTTTATTGAGTCCTTTTGGTCTTTTTAGAGTCCTAGTAGAGTCTTTGCAGGTTATAGCATGTCTGGAGCATAATTGGAGATTTTGGAACCTTTTGGAGCATTCTGAGTTGAAGCCACGAAGTATCCAACTCGGGAAGAAAAGTATGCATATGGTGACGCTCGTCACCAAGCTGGTGACGCTCGTCACCCAGAAAGGAAGGGGTCGTGGCTTGTTTTTAAAAAATTGGGAAGAAATTGCAGTTTTGACCCAGAAGTTCCAGTTTTTGCAAAAAGGCCCCAGATCGTGTTTTAGCTTGTATATTAGGTTTTTCAGCCATTCTTTTGGCAGATATCTTGTATCTTATTATTTTTGAGAGCTTTAGAGAGAGATTTGTAGAAGAGCTTTTGGAGAGACAAATCAGACTCCTTTAGAGCAGATTTTGAACTCCTTTATTTCTACTTCTTATTTCTTTTATGCAATCTATTCTTTTCATGATGTTTTCTCAAATCACTATGTCTGAGTAGTTTGTTAGTTAAGTTAGGGCTTTTCAAAGGTTGAAGAAGAGTTTGTAGAATTGCTAAAAACTTCTAAGAAATTCATTGGTTCTTCATATGTGCTTGCATTCTTATCGATTTCTTAGACACATCATCTGGATTTCGAAACCCTAGGTTTTTGATAGATGTGAGAGCATTATTAATCACCTGAACTAGTATTAGATGAGCAAAACGCCCTAGTACAAAGAGATTTGGCTTAGGAGTTTTGTGAACAATTGAACCTGATCATTACTGCATGTTTAGGTTGTTAGGGTTTGCAAAGAGATTTGAAACTCTGTGATTTAGACATAGATAACTTCTGCAATGAGAATTGATTAGTTATATCTTTGCGATTCATGTTCAAGACGGTTTTAATTCATTCCTGATTGCATGCATTCTACACTTTCAGATTCAACCTGCGAACTGTCCCGACTTAGCGCCTTTAACCTTCTGAACTTTAAGAACAAGCATAAAAACGCCCTCTTGCATTTATTTTACTGTTTTGCATTACATTCATTATTTATCGCTTAGCTTAATCTGAATCTATAATCGCTAGTGTGGTTTACATACTCCCTTGGGATTCGATAACCCCTTGTACTACAACTGCTTTTGCTGTGCACTTGCAGTAGTTTTATTTGGGTAAAACCTGACCCTATCGATTTGGCGCCGTTGCCGAGGAGTAATAGCTGCCTATCGATTTTTAGTATTAGGATTTTGTCTAAGTTTTTATTTGTTTACTGACTTTCAGCTACTTTTCCTTGTTCCTGTTTCAGGTGTATGCCTAATCGCAGAACCAGAAGCAACAAAGAGAAGGAGCTTGTGACTTTGAGCATCGACGAGCTTGCTAGGTTGGAGAGAACTAACAGGAAAG